GTTGCATATTTGTCAGGTTCAGTAAATAAACTGCCATATTTTTATATATTGGATTTTTAATATCAAGAAAAATCTACAAAACTTTATGTTATAGCAAATTTATACAAGACAAAATGCAATCATCCTAATATATAAAGTAAAATAATAAATGGTTCCAAACATTTCTTAGAAAGTGTATGTACTTTAAAGTTATGAACACCGTTCATGCTGATAATACAGTTTTTATTTTAACCCATGATATATTTAACTAAACTTAACAGAAAACTTTTTCATCATCTTTTTTTTACATCATCTTCCGCTTGTTCAGGAGTCGTGTCTCGGGGGCAGCAGCTTGAGCAGGAAGGTTCAGACGTCTATTCACAGCCACCTCTTCTGGGAGGACTCCAAGGTGTTGCCAGGCCAACCGAGAAACGTAGTCTCTGCAGCGTGTCTTGGGTCTTCCCCGGGGTCTCCTCCCAGTCGGACATGTCCGAAGCACCTCCCTAGGGAGCGTCCAAGAAACATCCTTACCAGATGCCTGAACCACCTCAGCTGGCTCCTTTCGATGTGGAGGAGCAGTGGTTCTTCTCCAAGTCTCTCCCGTATAACTGAGCTTCTCACCCTATCTCTAATGGAGAGTCCAGAGGAAACTCATTTCAACCGCCTGTATCCACAATCTCATTCTTTCTGTCACTACGCAGAGTTCATGACCATAGGTGAGGGGAGGAACATAGACCAACCGGTAAACAGAGAGCTTTGCTTTACAGCTCAGCTCACATTTCACCACAACGGACCAGCGCAGAGTTCACAATACTGCAGAAGCTGCACCAGTCTGTTTGTCAATCTCACTCTCGATTCTTCTCTCAGTCGTGAACAAAAAGGCAGAACCTCATCGTCGACCTGAAGAGAACAATCCACCCTTTTCTGACTGAGGACCACAGCCTCAGATTCGGAGGTGCTGATTCTCCTCCTAGCTGCCTCACACTCGGCTGCGAACCGCTCCAGTGAGAGCCAGAGATCACGGCACGATGACACCAACAGGACCACATCAAAACTGACCACGGAAAACTTTTTAACATCAAAAATTGTTTAATGCGAACTTAGAAAAGAGCCCACGTTCACTCATAATGCGAAGCTCCTTTTTTTTTGCACATCAGTGTGAATTAACAGTGTGATGCTCTTATGCCAATATGGACCAAAATCTCAAGAATGTTTAACACCTTACTGAGTCCAACCACAAAGAAGTGACGACTCTGAAGCCAAAAGGAGTCCGTCCTAATACTGTCGAGGTTTACCTTGTGTCTGTGCCGGTGCGTTTATAGCAACACAAACATGCCCATCGAGGTTAGCAGATGACTTTTGTTGTCCTCTGTTTGCGTCACACAGCATCTGCCCTGGCTGTATAATCTAAATATAATTGTCACACACAGCAAGTGCATGAGTGACAGAAAGAAAAGAGAAAAACGTTTTCGGACAGTGAGCTGCTCGTCTTTAATAGATGAAGTGCAGAGTCACTCCTTTAGTCAACAGAACACTGTATCACTGATTCTGCAGCCTCAGCCCAACACTCACTTTTTGATCTGCACATGTACATTTGTGCAGTAATACAAATGTTGTTCAATGTTGACGTTATGTTTAATAAAAGCTAGGAATTCTGCCAATTTCAATTAAAGCCCTTTTATTTCTGCACGAAGGAACAAACATCGAATGGTCTTCAGTGCAGATAATGTTCAGAGGTTGTTTCTCTGACCCAGTCGTTACCGTTTTACAAGGTACCACATGACAATGGAATTTAAAATAGAAATACTTCAGTATTTTTACAAAAGTTGTTTCGTAGACAAAGTCTCGAGTGTTCTCAAGCGATCTTATTTCAACTTTGGTATCCCAAGAAGTAACTCACCTCTTTCTCCTGAGTCTTTGGGATCTTCCGACCTTGTGGTATGGAATGAAACCAACCCTTACATGACCATTGCTAACGTAGCCAAAGAATCATAAACACCTTAAATTCATGTCCCAACCAAATAAACAAAATAAAGGAATACAAGGTTGTATTTTAGGTATTTTAAGCATAAATAGGTGCTAAATTGAACGCACCTCAAATGTAGTGAGAAGAAAAAGAACATGCCATTTATAAACAAAGTAAAAAAAACTTAACTTAAATACACGCACAAATAAACATAATAAAAAACAGAACTTTCTCAGTCTGGTACAGTTGCCCAAGCAGCCAACAGTTCCTAATGTAGCCAAAGATGTGACACAACATTCACTTTTATAGCCTATATTCAGCACTGGTGGAGAGCAACCCCAGTAAACCAAACCTGAAAATTGTTTGCAGTATTTGTGTTGAACTGAAACGCAAACGCTCCGATGCATATTTAAGAAAAGAAACAGCTGGAAAGCCCCCCTGAAGTGTAAGTTTCTTCAGTAAGTTTTATTTCATTCACCCACTGCAGGGAGCTAAAATGTGGAACTTCTTGCTAAGATTCAGTTGCTCTTTCTTTCACTGTGTTCCCCCCCTCCCTCCAAATTAAACAAAAAAGGGGGGTGATTGGGGAGGTTAAAGTGCCACTCTCATCTACATCTATTGTTGCTTTCAGCAAACACCTGAGCTGCTAAGATGGAAAACATTATTTGAGCTTGGACCGGGTTGAACAGGCATGTGCGTCACGCTGCTGATTGCACCAGCTCGCTGTGAATACTCTGTTGATCATAATTACTGAGGGTTGGAGAAAAATGACCCCCGCCAAAGGCAGATGGGAGGGGATCCACACACCCTCTATCTCCCATGCTCATTCAGAACAGCTCCAAATGAAAAACAAACTTAAAAAATGCTGTCAAATGAAACTGAGCTCCTTTGTAGGGAGGGAATAATTACAATCATCTATCAGATGATGTCATAGTCTGGCTTGTTAAAAATGGCTAAATTGTTCTGAATTTGTAATAAATTTGTATCAACATCTTCAAATTGACTGACACCTCCGTGAGAATGCTCTAAAATAGTTTTATATAATTAAAAATTTTAAATCAGATATAACTACATTATGTTAAATTCTTTAAAGTGAACTTTTCTCAATAAGCGAGGATGAGTAAAGAGAATAAAGAGGATGAAGAGGTTCACAGATCTGTCTAAAATATGGGAGCAGTTTGTTTAAAATTATTTTAAACCTGTTTAAAGTTGTGAAGAATTTGATGACTGCATATTGCTTGCTGCTTTGAAAATTAAAGCTTTAAATCAAGGTTTAGCTCCATGGTCCTCAGTCAGAAAAAGGTGAATTGTCCTCTGTGGGTTGGATGGATGGATGGATGGATGGATGGATGGATGGATGGATGGATGGATGGATGGATGTATGGATGGATGGACGGTCGGTTGGTAGGTCGGCCGGTCAATCGGCCGGTTGGTTGGTATGTACCTACGTATGTACTGCATGCATGCTCAAGAAGTCCGCACCTTAAACGATCCCATTTCCACAGGAAGTCACAGATGGAAAGAAGCACCTTCTGGGTGGATGTTCTTGGAGTTTTTATTCTAAAGAATTCCTTCAGGTTCTTTGACATCACTCGGTGTGTTCCTGCTTTAGTTTGGTCACTGTATGATGGACCTTTACATCCTCTGCCCTCTGAGTTTACTGATTTGTCCTTAAATGAAAGTTAAACCATTTTTTTTTTTAGCTTGTTCCTGTATTCACCTCCATGTTTCTCTGAAACTTGAAGGATCTTCTGCCTCTAAAATGTCTCAAATCACTGAGATTTAATGTGAAGATTTTATTTCTATAAATTAAACCACAATACTATAAAAACAATTTACTTGCAGCTCTTGAGCTGTCTCTAATGTACAGCTGACAAAAACCACAGATGAAAACATTAGTCTTTCGCTACTTCGTGGTTCGTTTTTCACAGATTCTCTATCACGGTTTTTCAAAGTAAGATTGGACATCCAACATTTTTCAGTCGGGTCATCTGGGCAGTTTCTTTTTTTTGTTGTGCTGAAACGTTTCGCCTTCGGTCCGGAAGGCTTCATCAGTCAAAGAAACACACAACAAAACTGATTCTTCCTCAAACAGCTTACTCCAAAGTGGAACAAACCAGTTCTGCTTGTGATAAGATGGTCTCTTTGGTACGCCCCTCCTCCATTGCCGGCCCTGTTCCTTGTTGACAGTCTTGTCAAACTGGTTGAAAACAAGAAAGTCCAAGCTCAATAACAATCTAGATGACCTGACTGAAAAATGTTGGTTTGTATACCTGGATTATTGAGCATGGACTTTGTTGTTTTCAACCAGTTTGACAAGATTGGACATGACACAATTGGCTGATTGATGGATGAGTCATGGATTGTTTACTTAAAAAAAAATTATTTTAAATGATTTTGCACCGTGTGTGCAGCCCACAAGTGCAGAGGAGAACTCTCTCCTGCAGCTGATCAGCTGATCGCCTTCTCTGCCATGCACACACTCTTCTCCTGCTGCAGCTTCGTGAAGCTATCCAGATGCACCCATCGACTTTTGTCTTCCAACTTAAAATTCAAAGTATGGCACATTGTAAAATCATCATAACCACAAAATATGAAAGTGTTAAAAGTTATTTTTAATTATTTTAGAATTCTATGTTCAGTTGTTGCAGTGTAATTGATCAAGAAGTGCATTTCTGCTCCGTGCAGCAGAGCTGTGTGAAGTGTTAACCCGTTGATGTCCTGTTTCTCCACAATTTAAATTCAAATACTGTAACATTTTAAATAAACAATCCATGCTGCATGGATTGTTTATTTAAAATGTTACAGTATTTAAATTTAAATGTTTTATTTAAGGAGAGCGATTGGGAGTAGCAGGTGATGAGTGAGTGTGATTACAGCCTGGCACATGTCATAACAAAGTTTACTGAACTTGAACTTGGACTACTGTATCTCTACTTCACAGTTTTTCACTTATCGTGTGCAGGCGTGGTCCCTAACACCTGCGATAAATGAGGGACTACTGTATTTTTTAAATGTTAATATTTATCTGTATGTTTCTGTTTAACATCCACAGGGGCTCAAACCGATGGACCACAACGGGCTGTCAGATCCATACGTCAAACTGCACCTGCTGCCCGGCGCCAGCAAGGTGTGTACCACCAGATCTAGTTTCTTTTCACTTGTCAACTCTGCATCCTCCACCATGACAGATGGGCGATTATGTAATTGTCTCTGCGTTTGATAACAAAAAATCTCATGAACCAGTGGACAGATGTTAATGAAACTCAAATTAATCACTAGATGAACATCTGCAACTGGTTCAAAATGACTATAACTTAGTCAATTTTAGATCTTGGGGTAAATTTTGGTGTGGTAGTAGCTGAGACTGATCACTGGTGTAGATTTTTTTAGTCATCCAGGACACAAGTAGAAAGCTCTCACACTTTAAAACTGGTGTGTTCAAGTTCGAACCTAAACTTCTTGAGAGAAGGAGTCCAGTTTAAAGCTGGGAACTCCACGTTCTTTAGTTTTAATCTGAGAACAAGAACTGGTTCCCAGCAACTCTGCAAATCATAGAAGAACCTGGAAAATGACTCGCATATTCCAGAAAGGGAAAACTCAAGGAATTTAAACGCTGATCTGATGAAAAGATGATCTTTTTGAGATGTCCACATATTCATGTATTAATGCTGGTATTCTAGTCTGGTATTCTACTGTGTACACAGTACGAGTACCCTTAATCACTGGCTATGGTGTTTTTTAGTATCTGATGTTCTACAATATAATTAATTATTAGGGATGATTGCTGTATGCACGTAACATAGGCCGTAGTACACTTCCTGTCTGAATGTGAGTCTGCTCGCCACCTAAGACTCAAGTTCTGAGCATTTCGTGTGACTGAAATCTCTCCTGAAATGTTTACATTTACTCTGGGACAACTCGGGGAATTTTGGGAGGACTGAGACTGATCCCCACACGTTCTCTGAGTGTAAGAAATCTTTGTGCTGCCAACAAACCCTGCACTGCCTCCTGCTGACTGCAGACAAACACAGACTTCTTTATCTAAAGTCGTGTACTCGTTCAGGTTCTAATAACCCAGATGTTGTATTTTTGTTATTTTTCAAACTCATAGTATTTGGATGAAGCCACCTCTGCTGACATCACTAGTCGCTCGTGAACAGATCCACTTTGTCTTCTGAACATATTAGTTTGTAGCCCAGCTGGGGTCGGCGCTGTGTTGTAAATAGTTATATACAATATCAAAGTGTTCTTAAAGCTCACATAAATGTCCTTATACCAGATCACAGTTGTTGCTTATAACAGATTTTTTTTTATTACATGTAAACTGTTTCCCATGACGATCTTTTTATATTCAGTATAAAGAACAAAGCCCATTTCGTTGAGTTTAATGTGAAAGCTTCATCTTTGAGGCTCTGGTTATTTTCCAGTAGACTGAGTTCTCTAACTCGTTTGCATCTGGCAGCAGTCCTTGACGATTGTTTAATACTTTCTCTGAAGTCCTCATTGATCCTGAAGATGATTACGCTCCATAAAAGCAGCTTAATGAAATGATGTCTGATGATCCGTCTATCTGACGCACATCTTCCTTTTCTTTTGGATCTTTTCGGTCTCAAGTGATTTGAGCTTCACAAATATTACTCTCTGCTGAATACTCATCTTGACCCAAGCCTGATTTTACAAATCTTATGTAGAAAATCAGATACATGGGTAAAGAGTTGAGAGGTATATGGTTACCCCATCAAATGCTGTAAAACACGAACTACAGAGCAGATTGTTTAATTCTATAGGGAGGAAAAAGAAGAGACAAGTTTTCAAACTATAAAGATGAAATCAGTGACAACATTTTGAAGCTTCCAGCGGTTGTGGAATTGGCTGGTGAGCTCGTCACCAAGGCATCCTAGAAAAATAACATCCACATAAATCAAGGTTCGATGTATCAGCTGAGCAAAATGGTCAGTTTCAAAATAAATGATGAGGATTATAAGATAAAGGACGCATTAGGAAGATTATGTATTTTATTTAGCAGGATCTCCAGACGGTGTCCTTATGTGAACCTTAACTACAGCAAAAATCAACCTCCACTCATTTCGCACTGCAGCCTGTTCTCATTCACTCGTTCATCTATGGATACACAGGTTAATCATGAATGTAGTACTCCCTACCACCTTGTACATGTGCATATCGTCTTTTTCCCCAAATTTGTGTGTTCTGCTTCTTTTTTGATTATTTCATGTGGGGTTTTTTTCTGTATAATTAGAACATGTCTGGGATTAATAAAGTATCTATCGATTTATCTATCGATCGATCGCACGGGCCTCTGTTCCATCAGAGGGGGTTTCAGCTGCATTGTCAGTAAAATATAGTTAACTGCAAGTCTTCATCACAACTGGTTTTATTTGTGTTAAGTAAAAAACATGAAATGAGCAGGTGGCATGGCAGCACAGTTGGTAGAGCGAGAAGGTTGCCGGCTCGAATCCCTGTCCTGAACCTTTCTGGGTGGAGTTTGCATGTTCTCTCCGTGCATACGTGGGTTTTCTCCAGGTACTCCAGTTTCCTCCCACAGACCAAAAATGTGCATGTTAGACTAACTGGTAACTTTAAATTGTCCCTAGGTGGGAGAGAGAGAGTGAATGGTTATTTGTCTCATTTGTCTCTATGTGTCCCTGTGATGGACTGGAGAAGTGTCCAGGGTCTCCCCACCTCTCACACAGTGACTGCTGGATATGGGCACCAGTGACCCCTGTGACCCGGAGGGCTGAGCGCTTCTTTTTTCTCCTACCTGATGTTGTTGTGCTGACAGTAGTGTGATATATAAAGTCACCGTGCACCCGTTATACGAGGAGCGAGGGTGGTCGGTCACCATGGGGGGAGGGAGGCGTTTAATGATTGAATAAAGTCTGATCCTTAGTCCACATCCGGTGGGTTGGACTCCACCAGGACAGGAGTGGGTACCCAACTGGTACAAAAAGTAAACCTCAGGGTATGAAGTGGGGGTATGATTGGACTGGGGGATGAACTGACTGCCACCTCACAGAACTTCAGGTTTGAGGTTGTAATCTGCAGCTTGATGAAGACTTCAAATGAACTGGAACGGTTCTGCAGACGGAATGAAAGTCGACTCAGTCGTCACCTTCCATCGTTGCTGTGAGCTGTCAGTCAACGTGCAGAACCGCTTTGTTTATTACTGCACATCTAAATGATATAAATCCCTCGTTGTTCTCTCTGTGCAGACACAATGTTGCTTTGAAATGTCGCAGTTATATTTTTTGTCATTTAAACGTTGATTAATTAGCTGGACACAAAGATAGTTTGAATTATTAGCATAACTATGAGAAGTTGCACGTTCAGCACGAGAGAAAGCCTCGAGCACTTCAGTAATACGCTGCAATTATTGTCGCACGACGCATGGAATGGGCTCATAAAAGCAGAACCAGTCTGTCAGCTGCTGAGCTGAACCGCTCCTCCTGTTTAATAACTCCAGTTAAAGAGGAAATCTGCCAACGGTAAATCGTTGATGGAGATTTGATCCAGAGCAGCGTTTCTGAGCAGACTTGTTTTCACTTGGCTCTGTGGATGATTTCAGCAACTTGATCCTTCAAGAAGAAGAAGAAAAAATCAATGTGTTTATAGAAATGCGAGTGTTTACACAGGAAACCCAGTTGACTGACACTTCATCTCTGAGCTCACATTCAGAAACAAAAATTCACCTTTTTTTTTTTTTTTTCCAACCAAACAGCGTTTTTACTCCGACTTCAAACTGTAGTGCTCATTTAAAAAGGTTCGTCTTTTTTCACCAGTAAGGGATTAAAACCTTTGACTCACTTATCGATTTGTTTTTTCAGACGCACAGAGACAGTGATGCCGCTGCTTTCTCTAGGTAGGTTCACGGGTTCAGTGATGGAACGTGTGGGTTAAACCATAAATAACAACCATGAACTAGACTACGTTATATCAGGGTTTTCTGCAACAGCTCGGTGTGAAGAAGGCTGCTGTAGCTGTATTAACTGCTGACGATGCTTTAAGCTGACAACTAAAGAGCAATAATTGACCCGTGTGTCCAAAGTCATTGTAACAAAACTGACCTCAACCCTGGACCAGTGGAGATGAAGAGAAATCCCTGTGGTCTGCTGCTGGAAGCTCTCGCCTCTGAACAGGATAACGAGGACAGAAAATGTATATGGGAGGCTGGTCTACCAATTTATGATTTATTTACTTATTTTCTTTGGCTTTTTACACGCCTGTTGAAAAGTGGACGTATCATGGCCGAGCTATTCAACTAAACTGCTCGGGGGGGGGGGGGGGGGGGGGCACAGTTTCTGAAAGCCAGCAGCTCAGGGGCTGGACATCCAGCAGTTAAAGTCATTATTAATTAAAGTCATTTTGTAAATAAACCAAGTATCACAGTGATCTGTTATCGTTTAAATTGGTTTGTTTTATTCCATTGAATCATAAATGCAATAAATAGAACCCAAACCCAGAACCCTTTGTTTTTTCTTCATTAAAAATTTTTTTTTTTTATATGAACTCATTTGTGAGTCGGACTGAAGTCGCCTGCGGACCAAAAGTGGCCCGCGGGCCACCAGTTGAATAGCTCTGTATTATGGGATAGCCTTGGTCCGTAACCTTTCTCTTGTCTGCTCCACAACTTCTGATCCACTCAAGATAATTTAATGAAACTTCATGCACATGTTTCTACCACTGCTAGACAGAGTGTCACATGATCTTTTGTTTCCTCAGCTCTAAGGTCAAGGTCATAAATCAAGGTCAAATGCTATACAAGGTTTTTGCTTGTCCAGGCCATTGTGATGGATTGCTGTATAACAGTTTGTCAACGAGCTTATAATGTGCCTCTTGATATATATGCTGTAAACATAAGTATGAAATGCATGTTTTCATATTTTCTGCTTCTGAAAGAGTCTTAATTTTTATATTAAGTACCACCTTGATATCGAACAAGGAACAGAAGCACTGAAATGTAAATCTCCTACACCTGTATTTTAGCTGCTCACACACATGGAGAGAAACCGTTGATGCAGAATAGAACATCTGCTCCCATACCGTCATGATCCCGTTTATTTCTTCTGCTTGGAGTTGAATGTTTTGGGTTTCCCTCACCTGTGTCCTCCT